AATTCACTTTTATTTATTTATTTATTAAAGTTTTCTGTCTCTTCCTCACTGCAGCCTCCCCTTCCCCTCCCTCTCCCCCTCCCTTGTCAGTCCAAAGAGCAATCAGGGTTCCCTGCCCTGTGGGAAGTCCAAGGACCACCCACCTCCATCCAGGTCTAGTAAGGTGAGCATCCAAACTGCCTAGGCTCCCACAAAACCAACTGCACTTTTTGTTTTTAATAAACCACAGTTGGCAGATTAACAATTGACAATGTGGTGGGTTTAATAGTTTGCCAATACCCTACAATTACAAAATAGTAGAGGTTAAATTCAACTAGAACTGCCCGTACTATTTCTTTACCAAAGAACACCTACTGACTTGCACATCTTAACGTATACTTCTGCCTTTTGGGTGATAAGGCCAGGAAAGCAGTCCCTTTGGGCTGACTTACAATTTCCTGAATATATGACCAAAGATTTTAAGAAAGACATAGTCATGATATTTTCAGAATATATATTTAAGTCACTTATTCTTCATAATCAATAAATGAGAGAGATGAGAAGCAGTAGGGAAAGAAAGGGGGCTCTTACTAATAAAAGAATATTATGCAAAATGAACTCAGAAAGCACTGACAGGCTCTATGAGATTTAAACGCATAGGAAAAGGATTTGTCTAATTTTGTTTGGGATGAAACCTTGCTCTGCCCCTACTTCATAAGGGAATGGAATATTTCAGAAAATGCATGTATCTTCAGATTCTAATATCATCACCATGGAGCTTAGCAGGTGTTGTGACCTTCGCCTGCACTGGAGGTTTTCATGATATATGCTCTGTCAATGGAAATTCAGGAGACCCAGGGAGATGATAAATTATAGCTAAGTGATTCAAAGAGTAAATATTAGGTTCAATGCCTGATTGCCTCATATTTTAATGCCTCTTGTGTGACGGGTCCAGTGTAGAGCACTCACTATTTACCAATGCAGCTTCACACAAACACCTTGGCACCATCATTCAAAAATGGTATGGTCCTCCTTAAAGTATTGGGCTTTTGATGACAGGAATAGACGAATCTTGCCTTTGGATGCTGGAGCTATGGCCATTTTCAGATAAACTGGCTATGAAGGACATTTCTTTCCAGTAATTGTGTGATTTTTCTTAGTCAGTGTTTTTCTCTGAGTTAAGCTAGGTAGGTGGCTTTTGGGGAAGAGGGGACATATTTGTTCCCTATCAAAATTGGAAGAGACTTTAAGAAGGCAGATGTAGGGAACAGACATATACAAAGAATGTGATTTGCAGAAAAATTGATGAAGCTAGAGAGAAAGGCAATATGACAGATTGAGATCAGAAAATGTGGGTTGGGTGTTATAGAAGTCACTATTCTGATATGTGGGCTGTGGCCATAGCAGACAGGGACAAGACGGGAAGCATGGGGGATTGTTCTGGTTTGAAAGCTCAGCTGTCTGGTGTGGAGGGCTGCCATTTTTCTGTTATCTGCCAGTTAGTTACTAGAACAGAGTAGGTGAGAGGGGTTGGAGGATAGGAACCTTTACACAAGGAACAATTTCTCTACTCTCTATGAGTCTACTTTTCTAAATGAAGTGACTCAAGTGCTGAGCAACATGATGGAGATTGAGCAGTGCTTGTGGACTTTAGATCTACACCTTCTGGTTTCATGAGACTTTAGATATTTTCCAAGTGCAGGTGTCCTAGTTTGTTTACTGAGATTTTTTAGATGTATTTTGTTGTTTTGACAAAAATCAACAAAAGGAGGAAGGGTTTATTTCAAGGACCACAACTGAATGTACAGACCATCATGGTAGGGAAGTCACATGGCAGAAACTTGAAATAGCCAGTCACATCTCATGCAGTCCAGAAGCAGAGTGTGACCAAGGCAGACTGATGCTTAGCCAGAGCGGGTGTCACCAAGCTAGCTGGGTCTTAGCTCCTCATTTAATGCAATGATGCTAATTCTCACCTAAATGCTCAGAGACCCATTTCTCACGTGGTCCTAGGTTCTGTTAATTTGACAGCTAACACTAACCATTGACGTAAGTCTTCCTTAGGAGTTGTGCACACTGCAAAAAAGCAGTATAACAGCTAGGGAAGTGCTGTGGTGGGAATCTGCACGTATGTGGTCTTTGTTTTTACAGCTCTGCTTTGCCACTGACAGTTACTATAAGTTTTGAGAGGATCCAACTTCTTTGGAATGCTGTTTCATACTTACTGAGATTTTTTTTAGATGTATGTTCAAAGCACTTAATGGCCACTTAGCACAATCTGGCATTGTAATTAACCCACAGAGAGACCTTGAAGTACCATTCTGTTCCCATTCCCAGTTTTAACATGACAAAACAGATGCAAAAGCAGTTTTAACATTTCTTCAAACTCAACATGGCTGGTGGGTCCAGAATTTAAATAACAACAACAACAAAAACAACAACAACTGGCCTCTTTCAAAGATTTTTGCTAAGACTTTGAAGTGATGCAGGCAGGGCAATGTTTTATTTATGTCACTAGTTTTTGTAAACATAATTGCATAAGAGTCTCTATGTATGGAAGCCTGTAATATAGCAGGATATTGCTGTACATTTTAATGCAGGATAAGGAACAAAGTCTTTAAAAAGAATGCATCCTTGCAGGTGAGAATGTAGACACTCTCCTGGGTTCCCAGTGCTTGAGAGGTAGAGGCAGGATCCTCATGAATTCTGTGCTAGCTTGGGCTATGCTGCAAGTTAATTTCAGGCTGGGTTAATGGGGTATTGTCCTCTTGGAAGACATGCAAGTGGCATGAGAGCAGAATGGATGAACGGTATAATCAAATGTACGTATATTGCTTATCAAGAACAACTGTACTTTATTGATACTAATGTAGCCAATATTCTGGGGAGGGATGAGGATATTCTAATGAGGCACTCATGTCCCTGTTACTAAAATTCCTTCCCTCTGGGGGGCTTGAACAATTCCACCCACTACTCCTACAGTCCCAAAGACAAGAGGAAGTACTATTAGACCAATGTCTACCTAGGCTGCCAATGGATTTATTAGACTTCTTAGGAGTGAGAAAAATAAGGTCCTAAGATTTAGTAAAACTTAGGGAACTGGAGTTTTATTTTGGAGTCTCCTGCTGGGAGAAGGAAAGGCTGATGTGCTGGAGGTATCAGGTCAGGTACTCTAGGCACAGAAAGGCTTTGTTTCCTTGGGAAAGATGTACTGTTTATCTAACATGAAAAAGCAGACAGAACCATATTTGGAAGGACTGCTTAGTAGGCACATTTCCCTGTCTATTTGGATTCTTCATTCACCCTAGGATTACCAAGATTGCCTTAGGAATCATTGGACACTGGATCTCTTTGTCTCTCTTACCAATCTGCCACATTGAATAAATCTTTTCTGCTGATGTTTCTTACTTTAGCTCATTTACTGGGTTCATGAAGAATGGGTGGAAGAACCTGGCTTGCTGGGTTATAGGCTATGACCCTAAATCTGGGATCACAAACACTTTCTACCCCTCTCAAACCATGACTCCAGAAGACTTAATATATATTTCATAAGTAAGTAATATATTTCATAACATAATGTATTTCATAGTTACCATCTATGAGAGTGATGGAAACCAACTCCAGTCCTCAACAAGAGAAGTAAGCACTCAAGCCCTGGGCTATCTCCAGCCTGTTTTGTGTAATCAATGTTTAGAAGACTTAACTAAAAAGAAATTCTTACCTTTACTCCACATATGTATATAAGTCACCAGAATTTTGATAGGAAGACACTCAACCCTTTTGATAGTAAGCCCTAACAAACTAGGTTTGCCCATTCTTTCCCAATGTGTCAAATAAGAATGCTCACTCAATGTCTCCACACCAAGGAGTATAAGAAGGAAATATGTGTAGCTGTGGCAGGAAGGTAAGGAAGTATCAAGATTAACATGGGAGAACTTAGTGGGCAGGAAATCTAGAATCCCTTCCCCAACTCTGTTACACATAACACACTGTGGACAAGACCCTAAGACACAAATACTAGAGATGACAGACACTATGTAGATGATGTATACTGCTTGTGAGACTGGTAACCCATGCTTTCAGAGTATGTCTTAGGCCAAAATTATCTCAGGGCCTGTACCATAAGGCCTGTAGGACAGAGAAAAGACTGAATCGAGTCTGAAGGATAGTCTCAAAGCTACTGAGTGAGGATGAAACAGCAAAATCTAGATATATGCCCCCGCCAGCCATAGGGAAGGCTTGGTTGTCTCTTATTGGCTGGAGGTACCCCCACTTCACTCATTGTCACTTAACCTATATAAGCTGATGCTCACAGTAATAAACTGAATTCCTGAGTTCAAGCTGGCCTGGGTCTGAAAAAGCATGGAATAAAACCAGACTTGCTGAACATAGCAGACAATGAGGACTACTGAGAACTCAAGAACAATGGCACTGGGTTTTGATCCTATTGCACGTACTGGCTTTGTGGGAGCCTAGGCAGTTTGGATGCTCACCTTACTAGACCTGGATGGAAGTGGGTGGTCCTTGGACTTACCACAGGGCAGGGAGCCCTGATTGCTCTTTGGGCTGATGAGGGAGGGGGACTTGATTAGGGGAAATGAGGGAGGGAAATGAGAGGCGGTGGTTGGGAGGAGGCAGAAATCTTTAATAAATAAATAAAAATAAACTGAGTTCCTGCTTTGACTTGACTCCTGTGTCATGGGGCTGCAGAACGAGCATATAGGGCACTCACATTTCCATGGGGAATAAGGCTAAGGAGGCCTGGCAAGTATGCCTTTCCCAGTTCCTATTCTTAGGTGTGGTGGTTTGAATAGAAATAGATTCCACAAGCTCAAATATTTGAATGCTTTGAAATTAGGGAGAAGTACTACTTGACAAGCATTAGGTATGGCCTTGTTGGGCTAAGTGTGGCCTTGCTGGAGGAAGTGTGTTACTAAGTAGAGACTTTGTTGTTTCAGAAGCTCAAGTGAGGCCCAGTAGCTCTCTCTTCCTGCTGCCTGCTGATCAGGATAAAGAGGTATCAGTACCATTTCTACCTTCATGCCACCGTGGACTCTGCCATGATGACAATGGACTAACTTCTGAAACTGTAAGTAAGCCCAAAATTTAGAGTTGTAATGGCAATAGTGTTTCTTAACATAAATAAAACACTGACTAAGACACTAGGAGTGGCCTTGTATTTCTTAATGGGTTGTATATAATTCTATTACTAACTATGAATCTCTGGTACAATTGTGACTGGACACAAGAATTTAGACTTCAATCTATGACTTCACAAGATGACAAGTGAAGTTGAACCAATCACTTACCCTTTATAGGTTCCAGTCATTTCTTTAGAGTGGCCTGAGAGTTATAAAAATTATATAAATCTCTATTTATTTAGCTTCCTCTCTAGCTTTCACCAAGGCTTTTCTCTTCCATAAGCACTGGATTCCTGTGGAAATTTTAATTCTGCAGGTCCATTGTTACAGTAGTCTGATGTCACAGGTATCTCTTTAAAATGTCTTCTTTCCTATCAGTATAGTTATACATGTGCTTTCAGAATGACTTTAATATGAATTAAACAAATATGGTTTTTAATAGGCCTTAACTAATTGAAAAGAATACATGCTTGATAGCAATATAGATTAATGGCTTGCAGGTATTAGACTATGGAAAGAACAGAATTTCCTATTCCCATGTCAGTAACTTACCTCAGCAATAAAGTAAAAGCTGATAAGAATAAAAGAAAGAAATGAGTACTTTAAGTGTCTAATAAAATATAAAGTTATTTCAGCAAGACAGATATTTGTTTTAGTTGACAGTTCTCAAGGATGTGATTCTGGAGGATTACTTTTCTATATAATGTAGAAAATATACACAGTTTAATAATGAGGAAAACTTTAATATTGTTCACATTTATGTGGGAAATAGAATTCATGAAAGAAATTCAAAGACTTTAGAATCCACTCCCATAGAATTACCAATACTCTCCACAACCAACACTGAGGCAGCTGGTGCCATACCATTATAGGCCCATTAAAAGAAACCTATTTCCTTCTGGTGAACTTCAGTCTGTCTCTGGGTGGAGGCATTCATTTTTTCCTGCCTTAAGACATAAGACAATTGAGCTGATCAATCATCTGACTATGGGGTCACCTCTCAGAAAGGCAGAGACAACTTAAATCATGCTGAAGAGATATGAGAAATAATTACCCTTTTGCTGAGATAATGTACTTTTTTCCAAATGGAGATGCCTTATGAAGTCACTACAAAGTGGCCTTTTGTTTCTGTTAAGCCTACATACTTTTCTGAGTCTTCAGATGAAAAGAGGTCAGAGGACCAGAAGGTATTAAAAGCATCATAAATGGGGCAAGGTCTTCAATAGCCACTGTCTTAGTTACAGTTTCTATTGCTGTGAAGAGACACCATGACTGCAGTAACTCTTATAATGGAAAGCATTTAATTGGGGCTGACTTACAGTTTGGAAGGTTTAGTCCATTATACTTGTGGACATGGAAGCAGACATGGTTTTGGAGGAGCTATGAATTCTACATCTTGATTCTATGTAGCAAAGAAACTGTGCCTGACACACTGGTCATAATTTGGGTATATATGACAATTCAAAGTCTATCCCCATAGAAACACACTGCCTTCAACAAGGTCAAACCTACACCAACAAGGCTGTACATATTGAGAGTTCCAGTTTCAATTGGCCAAGGACTGAAACAATGAGTATATGTGAACTACTTCTATTTGAACCACCACATTCTGCTCCCTGGCTCCCATAAACTTGTGGCCATATCATAATGAATAAAATGCATTAAGTCCAACTTCAAAAATCTCCATAGTCTGTAATAGTTTCAAACTTGTTTAAAAATCCAAATTTCAATGTCTCTTCTAAAACTCTTACAATCCCTTAACTATAATCCCTTGTAAAATGAAAATCAGCTCTCATACTCCCATCACACAATGGTACAGGATATATATTACCATTCCAAAAGGTAGGTAAAAAAGTGTAGTGAGGAAATAAATACTGGCTAAAGCAAGATCAAATATAGCTGGGAAATCTCCAAAGTCTGCATCTCCATGGCTGATGTCAAGGCACTTTTCCAATCTTTAACTCCTTTCAGCTTTCTTGACTGTATCACACTTTTTCCTCTTGGGCTGGTTCCACTCCTTGTTAGCAGCTTTCCTCAACAGGTATCCCATGGCTCTGGCAACCCCAACACCTTGAGGTACCCAAGGGAATACAGAGTCAATTCTAGCTGTTTTGAGATTTTCTCTGCCAATGGGATTAATCCAAAACTTTTCACTTTAACCCAAGGCAGATACTTATGACAAAGGCAAAAGGCAGTCACATTCTTCACCAAAATATCACAAGAATGATGCCCAAGTAATTTAATCAGTGTGTGTGTGTGTGTGTGTGTGTGTGTGTGTGTGTGTGTATTATGGGTTCACGTACATGATATGGCACCTTTGTTAGGACTGCTTTACAAACAATCTCCTTCTACTTGGGTTTAAGAAATCCAACTAAGGCTGTCAGGTTGCTGGGCTGCCACTATTCTTAAATGCCATTTTTGTCTGTGTGTCTTTTGGCTGACTTCTTATGTGTAATTATCTGTCTCTTAGTTGCTTCCTGGAGCTGAGACTCTTCTCTCCTCCAATCTACATGTGTCTTCTGTCCTAGGTAGCCCAGGCATCTAGAACATTCCAATCCAATCTTCAGTCAAAATATCTCCCCTCTCCCACCTTCTTCTGCCCTTTCCTACACCCAAGCACAATGATGTTAACCATAGTCCACCGCACCCTTATTAAATTTAATTTGTTAACTTGGAAGCAACAAATTGTCATGATCAGCTGTTGCCAGTGCCAGTTTATTGAATTTCATATTACTCTGTGTTGCACTTACTGATCTAAAATCAACAAAACTCGCCAATGAGCATTCTAGAAAGGCATTTTGTATGTATTGGCTTGCACGCTGACTAAATCAACTTAACATAAGCTATAGTCATCTGAGAGGTGGGAACCCAAATGAGAAAGTGCTTCCAGAAGATCAGACAAGCCAATGAGCATTTTCTTAATTAGTGATTGATGTGGGGCCATCTCTGGGCTTATGATTCAAACTTCATGGGTGTTTATGGTACATGCCGCTACTGAAAACCATGTGGAATTCTATGATTCATGCTGCTGATGGTTGTGTGTTTGATTGAAGTGATAAATCTTCAAAATATCAACCATTGGCTCAGCAGTTAAGTGCACTGATAATTTATGCAGAAGACTGAGATTCAGTTCCAAGTATCAATGTAAGACACAGGCAACAATAACTCTAGCACAGGGACCAGATGTTTTCTTCTGACGAGCCTGGGTACCAGACATACACATGACACATATACATAATTAAAGGCAATACACTCATACACAGAAAATAATAGATATTAAAACCTTATGGTTTAGGAGATTTGTGATTATTAAATAAATTAGACTTCCACAGAAGATTTAGTTTGAGAGAGAGTGAGTAGCTGTTTAAGCTGCCTTGAGTTTTTAGCTGGGCCTTAAGTGGGCATACACAGGGAGTGCACACACACATCAATTTTCAAATGCTATTTAAATAGTTATATTTAGACATTGGTACTGAATGTGTACTAAAACTTGAAATGTGAAATGGAACATTTCCAGTTTTTGCTTTTAAAGCTACACTCACATTCATATAACAATACAACTAAGATGGTCTTTTGTGCAAATTTGGAAATCACATCACTTTTTAAGAAATCTAAGTACCAATTGTTTATCATATGTCAAGTGACACAACATACCAAATTAGACTGAGAGAATGTAAAATAGGTTACCATGATTTCAACTTGTAAAATATCAACTCATTTCCTTTGGTTTAATTTTGGGTTCATCACAGGCTGACAGTTTTAGATATTATAAAAATGTCACCTCACCAAGGCAAAGAAGCCATTTAGCTAAATGCCTTTGAAATGGTTCTAACTGCAAGGTCCCTGTTCATTATTTATGAGGTGTAGACTTGACTTGTTCTATGGAAGGCAACATTGTCTCCTATATTGTAGGAGAGACTTGGAAGTTTTAGAATATAATGGTTTGTGAGTCTCAGACTTCATCATGCAAATAAAGACACAAACTTGAGGGAGGGCAAAAAATTCCACATGTGCAAACATATCCACTTATATACCAGACACCATTCCTCGATGTACGATGTAAATTCTTCAGTATTCTTGTTTCAAAATGGTCTATATATTAAAAATAAGCAACTAGTCTTCAAATGCTTCCCCGGTAGTCTGAGTTCTTAATCCTTTTCTAAATTCTTCCCAGAGCTCTGTTTTAAGAGCAAACAAATCTCAATAAAGTTATCAGATTTTTTCTTTTTCTAGATATTTTAATCTTTATTTTTAAAATCATGTGTATGCCTGTGTATCTGTTGTTGATATGTGCACATGAGTGCTGGGGGATTGGGAAGCTAGAGGCACTGGATCCCTCTGGAGCTGAAAATGTAGACAGCTGTGAGCTACCCTGTGCATGGTGGGAATCGAACCCTTGCCTTCTGCAATAAGTGGTCCTCACCCCTTAGCCATCTCTTCAGCCTCTCTCAGTGACCTCTTACCATAAATACAGAAGTCAAAAGGCAGCAGACTGGCATCCACAAACTGGTGAAAACAGTAGAATCTTGACAAGATTTTGCCAGAGCCAACAAAGTCCTTTGAAAAATGAAGGAAAAAGGAACTATTTTCTGATAAATAAAGGATAATGAATTTCATTGCCACATCTCTGTGCTCTAGGAAATGTGAAGACAGGCCCTGCAGGTTGGAATTGTAAGCTGCTAGGCAGTGTTTCAAGACCACATGAAGAAATAAAGTTCCATGACAACAAACAGCAGAGCAGTCAACATGGCAGCTACTGATATGGAGATTCCATGTAGCTAGTGTATGTGTGTGTGTGTCTCTCTGTTTGTCTGTCTGTCTGTGTATTTTTCTTTCCTTCTGGTGTGTCTCTGTGTGATGTACATGTGTTTGTTCATGTATGTATAGGCACATGTCTGAGGTAGTGTGCATGAAGGTGAGAGAGATCCACAGTTGATGCTGGGGAGTC